GACATAAAAACAACAATAACTTTGGGAAGTTGGGAACTGTGGCAATTTCTCCTTTTTCTGTATATGTTGAAATTCTCTGACATCCCTTTAGAAGTTATGCTTCACTTTTTTTACAATACTAAGGTCTTTTTTTAGCTTAGAAAGTAGTATTTCATCATAGGGAACATCTGCAAAATTATTCATAGTGTGGAGAAAGCAGATACATGTATATTTCAGGCAAGTCCAAAGTCCGTTTTGGGGGCCTAATCTGGCCCACCGGTCAGCTTAATCAGGCCCCTGTGGCAGTTTATTTCCTGGGGTAAAATCCTAAAAAAAAGCTCAACAACTTCAACCCTAAAAAAAGGCCAACAACTCATGTTCACTTCATCAAATCTGGCCCTCTTTGAAAAAAGTTTGGACACTAGAAGTTGAGCTCATCCAAGGAAGGTGAATAATGTTATTCAGAGCAGGCAAAAAGTATTTATTGATTCTGTGCATTTCTTAATACTGTGTATAGTTAAGCTATGAAATTTGCTACCTATCTCAAGATGCCATAACGGTACTACATGGAAGGCTTTAAGAGCAGGGTGAGACAAATTCATAGAGGTTAAGGCTGTCAGTGACCACTAGCTATGATGTTTGTGAACTACCTTGAGTCCGCCTGGCATAACAGTTAGAGTGTTGAACCAGGACCTGGGAGAGCAGGGTTCGAATCCCCACACAGCCATGAAGCTCAGTGGGTGCCCTAACCTAACCTACCTCACAGGGTTGTTTTGAGAATGAAATGAGGAGGAGGAGAACCATGTACAGCACCTTGAGAACCTTGGAAGATACAAGTGGTATATAAACAACAACAACAAGCTCCCATAGTGGGTTGTTACTGGGAATAGTTACTGGGGAGCACAAGTGGGGAGGGTGCAGTTCTGCTCGTCTCCCGCTTGTGGGCTTCCCATAGGCATCTCATTGGCCCCTCAAACATCAGGAGGCTGGACCAGATGTGATTTTGGTCTGATTTCAGCAGAATTATTCTAACATTCTTCTAGACCTTACATTCAGACTGTGGGCATTGCTTCTGAAAATGCCTGCAAAATCAAAGTTCTCCATTGTTGATATTTTATAAATGGTTGCACTGACTATCAGGACTGCAATCCTGACTCAGTGGGAGAGGGATTAGGGTCGCACATAGCTGCTTCTCTGCTGGTGGCAGTGGGGGGACTCTATGGAGGCTCTGGAGCAGTGAAAGTCTCAAGCTTTTACCTGGCAGGTGGGGAACTATTGTGGATAGCAGTCAATGGAAATTTCTGGGCAGGCAGCAGAGGCGGATCCCATTAGAGCAGCCTTGTTCAACTTTGGTTCTCCAGTTGCTGGACTATAACTCCCATCATTCCTAGCCAGCATGGACAGTGGTCAGGGATGATGGGAGTCATAGTTCAGGAACAACCCAAGGTTAAGAAAGGCTGCCTTAGGGACTCCCCGCCAAACACCTTCCACCCTAGCCGGCGGGGCTGTAGATGTGATGGTGAATCTGCTTCTTCATGCTGTCTGACCCCCTGCATAGGAATTGTTCTTTCTGATGATCAAGGAAACCCGGCAAGAATGGAGCTGCTGGATTAAATTGCTGTGCAAAGTTGTCTTAAAGTTAATTAAAGGTACTTGTGCTTTGCAAGAGTTCAGCTGTGATGATTGCTTTTCAACAAAGTACTGTACCAGAAGACCTGCTGTTCATTCTTAATACTTGTTCAGTAATAAAGGACCCGGAAACCCTTGGTGTGTTAATGTTCCTTTTTTAAAGAAAAAAAAACCAACGTGTTTTAAGGTGTTTTATTTGTTATGTTGTTAGCATCCATCTGTCTCGAGAGAGAGTGGAAGTGTGTACCATCAGGGGCAAAGTCAAACTGTCAGAGAGTTTCAGCGCCTGCTGTGGCTGTAGAGACAATGACAGGGAACAAATAACGGATATTTGTCGTATTTATTCATTCACAATACTGTTATAATATTTATTATAAAATATCTAAAGAAGCCATTGTGCCTTTATTGTGTCAGTTGATCAACAAAAAGAATCCTTGGTCAGAGAATGGAAGAGACCCCTCTGTGGTCAGTATGTAAAAACAAGTATTTGCCCCTTCTGAATTTTTGAATGTTGGAACAAGGACAAGTGTTCATTGCTAGAACTTTACCTTGGCTGTCTCCCTGCCCTTTCCATAATACAGTCGTACCTTGGAAGTCGAACGGAATCCGTTCTGGAAGTCCGTTCGACTTCCAAAACATTCAGAAACCAAAGAGCGGCTTCTGATTGGCTGCAGGAAGTTCCTGCAGCCAATCAGAAGACGTGGAAGCCCCGTCAGACGTTGGGGTTCCAAAGAACGTTCGCAAACCAGAACAATCACTTCCAGGTTTGTGGCGTTCGGGAGCCAAAACATCCGAGTACCAAGGCGTTTGGGATCCAAGGTACGACTGTATACATTTATAACACAATCCTGTGCATGTCTGCACAGAAGTAGGTACCAGTGTGTTAAATGGGAGATAGTCTGGGATTTCAGCCTTACGGTGCAGGCCTACATATGTCTACTCAGAAGGACTAGTTGCAGAGTAATATACCCTGTGGGATCCCATAAGGTTACCCCAGTGGTTCTTAAAGGATGTGGTGTGTTACACACAGCTCCCAGCCCCAGACGGTCCAGAAGGATGTTATGGTCAATGGTATCAAAGCCGCTGAGAGATCCAGCAGAACTAGGAAACAGCTCTCATCTTTGTCCCTAGTCCACCAGAGATCATCGACCAGTGCGACCAAGGCAGTTTCAGTCCCATGATGAGGCCTGAATAAGATATCTGACCTTCAATATAGGGTTGGGAATGGCATTTTATTATATTGGGAATTCAATATTGATAGACTGTGGGATTTTAATAGGGTGCTTACATACCTCTCCCTAATTACCCCCTTCTGATTCATGCACAAGGTTTCTGGATAAAAAATGCAATACAGTCAGTGTAGCCACATATTTGTGGCTGCCTTCTGTATTAATGCATATTGACCCAGTAAATGGAGATGTCTGCCTGAAAGCTGTTAAGCTATCAGCATTCTAGTGCTAATATTATTATAGCTTTCAGGCAAGTTGGTGTCTGCTGTATGGATTGCAGCAAGGATTAAGGGGAGGGCGAAGGTAAAGCTGTGACTTTTCTCTGAGAGACATGTTACATATATTCCAAAAACATACAATGCGTATTAAAGGACCAAAATAGGTTTGAATGCAATGCTTCTTGGGTGCATCGTTATACTAAGAATACTTTGAAATTAATGCCATGTTTACCAAAGAAGAAATGTAGTTTTCCATGGCTGACGAGAGGGGAATGGTGGAACGTCAGAAATTGTTTCCTAGAGGTTCATTGTTAATATTCACAAGCAGATTCATGTAGTAAACATGAGATACGCTGTGGTCTAAACCACTGAGCCTAGCTCCTGCCCACCTAGCACATTCAAAAAGCATGTAAAAAGCATTCGAAAGCACGTCAAAGTGCAAAGTAGATAAATAGGTACCACTCCGGTGGGAAGGTAAACCGTGTTTCCATGCAGTGCTCTGGTTTGCTCTGGCTACATGACCTGGAAGCTGTTTGCAGACAAACGCCGGCTCCCTTGGCCTATAGAGCGAGATGAGCGCGTAACCCCAGAGTCGTCCGTGACTGGACTTAACAGTCAGGGATACCTTTACCTTTACCTCAGTTTTGAGGTGATAGGGAAAGTCATGCAAAGAGGTTGAGGGAACATTCTTTCACATGTGGTGGGCTTGTAAAAGGGTAAGAGAGTATTGGGAAATAATCCATAATGAACTGGGGGAAAAAAATGTTTAAAAGTAGTTTTCCAAACAACGAGTCCTTTTTGTTGGGGATAATTCAGACTGAAATTCCCAGGTGTCAAAAAAGATTATTTATGTATGCTACTCAGGGCTTTTTTTCTCTTAAAAAATGTTTAGGGGTACTCTCATTTTGACTCAAGAAAATCACCATTTTAAAGTTCAAATCTGGAAAAATACAGTAAATGGACAAAAGTAGAAAGATTCACAACATGTTTAGGGGTATGCGTACCCCTGGGTCACCCCAGAAAAAAGCACTGATGCTACTACTGCGGCCCATGTTTTGTTAGGCCAAAAATGGAAAACAAGCGAGGTCCCAACCAAAGAAGAGGGGCAATTTAAGCTGGCGGAATATGCGCAGCTTGCAGACTTAACATATAGAATAAGAGAACAAGAAGAACATAAGTTTAGAGAAGATTGGGAAACGTTTATTGAATATATTGGGGGGGAATTGTGTACACCTGAAAACGTTGGCAGCATTAAGATGAATCCAACAGTTTAAATAAGTTTTGATGGATGCAGCAATGAAATATTAAATGGTTTAGCTTTTGTAAAATATGCAGGGATTTATGATGTGTAAAATGAACCATGGAAAGAGAAGAAGATGAGATGGAGGTGAAAAAACAGTTTGTTTATATAAAAGTATTTTTACCCTATCCTTCAGTTAAAAAAGACTCCCAGAGCAGACTACAGAGATTAGAAATAATTTACCGGTAATTAGATGATAATCTTACAGTCTTAAAGATGTGGCACATAAGGAAATGGTAACAGGAGGGAAGAGGGAAAAAGCAAGTGTGGGGACTAGTTCTTAGTTCTGAAGTTCAGGGAGTGGTAGTTTAGCAGGCCATGGAACTGGATCTAGCTAGGGCTGCCATCTCTTGAAGAGCAAAAAGGAGAACACCTTTGCTGAGTTATACTTTTAACTACGGATCGCTATGACGACTCTCATTTTACATATTCATGAAAAAGAGGAAGTGTCCTGGAAAAAGAAAACATAGGGCACTGTGGGGTGGCTGCCGACTCCTTTCTGTCTCGCTGTCTCAGAAATGTCATTTGGTAGATAGAGGAAGCAGGGCTAACTTGGAAGCCGTTGTTGATAAGAGAGAAGTTGTTTAAAAAGTTGGATGTTCTTTGAAGGTATTAATGAATACTTCTGTATTTCCCCCCCTAAAGGTTATGGTTTTGTAGATTTTGACAGCCCAGCAGCAGCACAGAAGGCAGTAGCATCTCTTAAAGCAAATGGAGTTCAAGCGCAAATGGCAAAGGTAAGATCAATGAGAGGGCATTCTTAACCATGTAATGTTGTGTATTACTCTTTGTGGTAATAATTTTGTGGGATTGTTCCATTTCCTTGTTGTTTTCTAAATCAGGATTTCTTGCAATCTTGTTTTATTACTCAACACAAGTTTGTCTTCTGACTCTACTGATTTCTTCTTCATCTTCTTTTGTCTGTTGGCTTGCCAATGTGTATGATGCCTGTGATTTGCCCGGGTCCTGAAACGTGGTGCTCTTAAGTTCCATAACACTCTCCTGCCATCCTTCAAGGAACTTCATAAGACAAGGTTAATACACCTTTAGGCGCTGGGCGAAAACTTTCCTCTTTAACCAGGCCTTTGGCCGATTGACATCCGATGCCCTTTAAAAACGTGGAAAGGGGGATTATTAGGTTGTCTTTGTTTTTATGGTGCATTTTCTGGTTTTGTTTATATTGTGGTTTTATATTGCGAAGCACCCTGAGATCTACGAGTATAGGGCGGTATACAAATAATAATAATAATAATAATAATAATAATAATAATAATAATAATAATATTCTTGAGATGGGAAGAGCACTGACATCCAGGCCCTACATATGGCAGTGGAGAGGTGGAATGTGTGTTCCAGGGCTGGCTGGTTGGTACATGGTTACTGCACTGCCTCAATACTTTGGGGCTTGGTCAAGCCTTGCACCATTCTGCATAAACCTGAGATGGCTTATGGGGAAAAGTTGCTGGAGACAGTGCCCTTGGCTGAAGCTGCAAAGCATATGCAGACGTTGAGATCATAAGGGGCTTCCCTTTGGCCAGGAGAGGTTGCATGCAGTATTGATGGATCCAGCGAGTGCACCTTCTGGATACCCCAGAAGACAAATACACATTATAGAGTTGCATGTCTTGGTTCTCCAGCAGAGAATCTTGGCTTGGCAAAATGCAGCAGGGACACACAGATTGCCTGGTTTTTGCACGCATGAGGAACTTTGGTGACCGTGTATTGATTATAGAGCCCATTGCAGATTAAATTATTTTTTCGCAACCTCCTTTTAATGGGGATCTCAAATGATCTGGCTGTGCTGGTTCTGGGACACTTCTGTTTCCCCAGGCAATTTATTTTCCTTACTCTGTCAGCCTGCTGTGCGTTTTCTAGCTGCCACCTCATATTCTGCCGAACGGTATGGTTTTATTGCATATGAATAATTCATTGTGTATACCTATTGCTTGCCATTCTGAGATTGCTTAGATGAAAGGTGATATGCAAATGCTTTAAATAAAGATAAGCCAATATATAAGATAAATCCCCCGTGACCTTCTCGCTAGTGCTTTAAGATCTGCATGGGAGGTCATGCTTGTGGAGACGGCAGTGGACAAAGTCCATGCAGTGGTAACACGAGGCAGAGGCCTCTCAGTGGTGGCCCCTCTGTCTGTGCAATGGTCTCCTCGTTGTCCCCCATATTGCTGACATTTAGGTGTCATGTTAAATGCTTGCATTTCACCAGACTGTGGTTCGTTGCTCAATTTAGCAGAGAGTTTACCATGCACTTCATTGTGGTTTAAAGATTGCTGTTGATTGGTTGATAAGATTTTAATTGTTGTTTTTATCTTCTTTGCATTGTATTTCAGTATTATTGGTAGTTGCTCTGGGCACTGGCTGGTGTCCAAGAAGAAGAGATTGGTTGATTATGGAGGGAAAAACTAGAATCCACCCTCAGTCTAATGAAATGATGTGCATTTGTCTGTGCCACATTCTGTGTAACCATGGCTATGGTTACTTGTGTTTTGGTAACCTCCAAGTTAGACCATTATAATGAATTCTACCTGGGGCTGTCCTTGAATATGGACCAGAAATTGCAACTAGTGTGAATCACATCTGACAGGGGCAGTCGGCCACAAGCATACGGATCCTCTTTGGAAGCGTCTGTATTGGTTGCAAATTGTTTTCTGGGACCAATTGAAGGTGCTTACTTTAATATTTAAAGACCTAAAAAGCAGGGGACCCAAATACTGCAAAAACACTTTCCTTCGTATTGAACTGCCTATGCTTTAAGATCAGCAGATGAGGCCCTACACAGGTTGATGTGTGTGGTTTGGAGGTCCTGGGAAGAGACTTCTTAGTGTTGGCTCCTCACATGCAGAACCCTCCCTTCTTAGGTGTGTCTGGCCACATCATTATATAGTTTGGGGTGGTTTGTAAACACATCTTTTTCAACAGGCATTTGGAGGAGACACCTGGCTAGAAAAAAAGGTTTCATTTGCTGCTGCGCTTAATAAACTGCTACCTAGTTAAATTGTTATGAGTCGTTGTGCTTTGCATTTTAATGATCATGTCATTTTATGGATTTTAGTACATTTATATATGAGTATGGGTGTTGTTTGACCTTGGTGTAAATTGACATATGTTAATGGTGGTATATAAGTCATCTAAATAAATTGTTGTGTTATATATTCAATTTCTATCTTGCCTTTCCCCCAAAATGTTTTTAGTTAAACTCTTTGATGTCAGTTGTGCCTATTATGTACAAATGGACCGTGAGATGCAACCATTGAGTTCAGATAATGAAATTGTTCTAAATACCTCAAATTCATGGTTTCTCCATAGGGATGCTTCCAATGCGCTCAACTAGGAGCAAGCACAAAAGATTTCGGAGCTCTGTAGTCTTGTAGTTAGAAACCTCTGTAAATATAAACATGTAAATTCATCCTTAGTAGGAAGTGTTGTGCTGCAATTAGTTTTCTGTCCAAAGAACATCTGAAGAGCTAGAAGTTTCTGTCCAAATTTTGAACAGATTGTAATTTTCAAACAAACAGTATTTATGGAAGCCCATCAGGGATCGATTCCAGACATTTTGTCATTTTCTTCTTTGGAGTTGGTGACATGTTGTGGATGCCCCGTTTATTTCACTCTGTCTTATTCTGCTGTTGTTATTATTATTATTCTCTATTACACACATTCGGATAATGTGTTTATGTGCTTCTTGTTTTGTTCTTTGGTGCTGGTCATTGACCACAATAATAAATATTTGATTTGATTTGTATTCATGGAAGCATGAGGGCCCAATATGAGAGATTTTGGAATATGCAGGCCCTTCTACAAGTTGACATTAGTCCTTTAAGATCTGAACTTTTATCTGCCCTGTTTAGGGAAGTTTTTAATGTTTGAAGTTTTATTCTGTTTTTAATGTTCTGTTGAAAGCCCAGCCAGATGGGCGTGGTAGAATGTGTGTGTGTGTGTGTGTGTGTGTGTGTGTGTAAATTTAAAGTATATATAAAATTTACAGTATAAACCTCCCATTTGACTAGATAGCTTGCATAATGAATTGGTTCACACTGATCCCCTGTAACCTGAGGCGGAGATTTCAACTCCCCCCCCCCCACTTATTTAACAAATTCATAGACTGCTTTGTATCGTATTCATAGACCACTTTGTATTTTTCTGTTGTGAACCACCCTGGGATCTTCAGATAAAGGGTGGTATACATATTTTAACAACAATAACAGCAATTAATAGATTGAAGCCGTGTGCAAGATTTAAACCTTCCAGAATAAAACACAAGTTCAAAAAACAATAAAATAACTTCAGTAAACTAAAAGCAATAAAACCATATTTACAAATTCTTTAAAAAAAACAACCAAAAAACATTTCCTGCCCCATAACTGAGTGGGTCATCCATCAGGTAAATCCTTCTTAAAAAAATATGTCTTCAGCTGTATACCCTGCACAGCATATCACTATATAATGGGGGGGGGGTACCCATATCACATAATGTAGTGACATTGCCCACAAATGATGGGCAGTACTTCATATAAATGGCAGCAGCTGGACAAATGTGGCTGGAGTAGACACCCTCCGAAAACTGACACCTGTCAATTGGTTTACCTTTCCTGACAACTTTTTTCGAAAGAGGGCGATTTTGTTTCCGTTGAATCTTTTTTTGCCAGAGAAGTTTTGAAACTTTTTTCTGAGGCTGCTTATGGAAATGAGCCATAAGGGTGAATTAGCTGAATGATTATGCCAGCCAAGATCGGAATCTCAATGCGGAAAGCATGAAATATTGATGCAATTTGGAATTCCTGTAGTTCCTTCACCTGAGAATCTCACATTACATACTTCCAATATTAATTAAGTCTCCAAAGGTCACTGTGAAGCAGGCTGCAGCAAGCATTATCTGCATTTCAAAAAAATGGGACAAAAATGGTGAACGAGAAGAGGATTAAAGTTGAGGTTGTACCTGAATAAGGGTGAAGTGGAGTTATACCGGAAGAGAGGTGAAGTGCCTTTGAGTTACTGAACCCAGAGTTCCTGACAAAAGCTAAGCGGTTCTCTTCGGTAGTTCTGCACTTGCTCCTCTTTTGCCCTGTGCTTATCTCATCTTTTGTTCTCCACTGTTGAAACCACAACTATGCACATGCAGGCATTTGAGACAAGTGGATTGGGGTATTGAAAGCCAGCTCAAGATTTGTAGCCGTGGCACAAGTGTTTGTGCCGCCTGAGGTGAGTGGCTGCTCTGCTGCTGCCCGGCTGCTATTCCTCTTCCTGCCAACCATTGCCCCACCCCTGCTCATGCCCCCTTATTTATTTTTCCATTCCTCCCCCCCCTTTTTATTGTTGCTTTGGTGGCGTCAGAATTGGCCTGCCTCACTTTTCCACATTATGGGAAAGGTGCTAGTAGAGTTGTAGATTGTTGTTGTTGTTTAGTCGTTTAGTCGTGTCCGACTCTTCGTGACTCCATGGACCAGAGCACGCCAGGCACTCCTGTCTTCCACTGCCTCCCGCAGTTTCGTCAAACTCATGTTGGTAGCTTCAAGAACACTGTCCAACCATCTCGTCCTCTGTCGTCCCCTTCTCCTTGTACCCTCAATCTTCCCCAACATCAGAGTCTTTTCCAGGGAGTCTTCTCTTCCCATGAGGTGGCCAAAGCATTGGAGCCTCAGCTTCACAATCTTACCTTCCAGTGAGCACTCAGGGCTGATTTCCTTAATAGATGTTAATAAAGTTGTAGACAATGAAGTTG